GATGATCCAAGAGAGTGCCAAGACAGCGTCAGAGAGATTCCGAAGTCTTGATGGGGCTCGAGGAACTAGATAGGAGTCCCGACTTGAAAAACATGGGAAACCCTGGAATTTGCGGAATGGCAAAGCCCCGCGGATTCCTTTCCATGAGCCAAACAATTTCAGTCCGGAACTTCTCGGCTCGCATCTCGTGAAACCCTGCGGCCCTCCTCGAGGCCGCCGTGTGCGCTGGCGGACTCGTCAGTCCAACCATCTCAAATCACATAATGCCCCGCCGAAACCCAAGCGGCTCCGTCAGAAAAAAAGAAAAAAAAAAAACAACAAAAAAAAAAAAAAAAAAAAAAAAAAAAAAAAAAAAAACCTAGCAAATAAAACCTCTCGCTCACGTACGGTATCGTGCCATCTCTAGCATTTGCACCATGTCTCATGTGCGAGACGGCCTCGCGATCTGATCAGACTCCGTCGCATACTTCTGAACAAGCCAACATCGCTCAACGCAGGCGGCATCTCGCACTGGTTGCCCAGGGCTCGTGCAACATGCTCAATGCCAAGCTCCCCGCTCCTGAACACTTAGCGGCGCATAACGCCAGTCGGCTGCAGAATGTGCATTGCCCCTGCTCTTGCACGTCGCTGGCAGCTGCACCGCAACGGACCTCGCCCTCTTGAGGCGCTGCGCCTCCGACTCTGGCGGCTCACCCCTGCGGCGCCGCCTCGACGGCGACCCCCCATTCGACCCCATTGAACCAGAACCCTCCCCCTTGCCATCGCACCTCGGGCCCTGAGACCCATGCCTCGCAGCTAATGTCGTGTCCAACATCCCTGTCGTGATATCCGCGCCCACAACTCCCTGTTGCTTCATCGCGAACACGTAGCTGCTGAACGCCATTGCCCTTACCATGGCCACCAGGTGCGCCGGGCAACTGCGCTAACTGAAGCCATTCGTCATACTGACCTTTATGTTGTCGCCGCCGTCGCAGCTGCACTCCGTCGCCTCGGCCATGGAGATCGCCGACGTGACCGCAAGAACCATCGTCAACACCTCTGGCTCCTTAAAGGAAGTCATCGCCATCGGGATTAGCCCCGACGTCTTCACGCGCCTCTTGAGCGCAATCTTGCCCATCGGCTTGGCGCGAATGTCCGCCACCTGGCCCCTAGTAAGTTTTCCACCTTCACCACCTCCATGTCGCCATCACGAGTTAAGCCCAGATGCCATATCCACCTTGTCTGTAAATGCCGCGCCCCTCCGACTCCGCGTCTGTGAATCATAACTTTCGCCGCTGCTGAGTCCGTCTCCATCTCCAGGGTGATATTGATCTGCTCGCTCATCATCTCCGCCATCTCCTGCAACGCGCGCTTGATGGTGAGACCGCCGGCCGTGCCTGACCCCATCGCGTAGAACTCCGACTCTCCACTCGATGACGCCACCGTTGCTTGCGACCCGCCTCTCCAGTAAATGAGCTCACAAGCAAATGCCTCCTGATGACATGCCATCGCGCGTCGCCCCCTGTCCTGCCCAATGCGCATCGACCGACGCCTTCACATTGAACGTCTCCTCCCGGCATGGGAAATAGATCACGATGACCGCCGCCCCCTTCAAGTATCTGACCAGGCGCTTCTGCTTCAGGATGCGCTTCACCCGGTCGCTACACGAACAGCTTTACTCTCGAACTGCTGCCTGAATACCCAATCGATCTCCGGCTAGGCACTGAGCAATGACACCCCAACTGCGATAAACCATCGAACACTGCCGCGTTACTGGATCCACTGCTTCTCGAACTCCCTTCACAGCGTGCTTCGAGCTCGGCGTCTCGTCTGGCTTGGCCTGCCTCGAATCATAAAACTCCACCATCTTCCTTCGGGTCTGGTAGAATACCGAAGCCCTCCTTGGCCCAAAGAACCCCCCCGTTGAAAAAAGGATCCCTCGGCTGCTCCTCCTGGCCCCACTCGAGGCTGAGGTTTGACCTTCAAACGAATCGCCATGATATCGTCAAAAGCGCCCAGCTCATCATCACATGCCTTCACGACGAAATCATCCCTGCCCTGCACAGAGCAAATCAATACCTGGATGGTAGTACAGGCAGCACACTGTCTTCAGCTCCTGATATCCATCCTGGCCGAAGCTGTCTCGAACTTCCCCCTGAAACAGCATCGGCGCCTCTGGAGTGCCACACATCGCCTCCTGCAGCTTCCAGGGCATTCCTGGTCGCCTTTGTTCTTGCGGTGGCCAACAGTACTGGTGCTGCTTCAGCGACGCATGAGACAATGCCACTGAGATGTCGCAAAGCCCAAGCTGCTTCCTTCTCTTCTCATTCGGTCATGTCGAAGCTGTCCGCGATACCGCCAACTTACCTGCCCGCAGTGCGGGTGCCCCTGCGAAATTCGAAGGGCCTTTTCCATCGCTATACCTCGAGCGATCACAACGGCTCCTCACGATCCACCCATTGTGCAGCAGATCACATTTTCTGCCATCGATCCACTTGGTATCGAACGGCTTCATCCAGTCCTCAAGCGGCACCCAGTCGAAGACCCCAAACTCCTCCATACTCTGCACCTCCAAGGCCCTGCCAGTGATCACCAGATCCCTTGGCAATCCTTCTCCTGCATGCGCGTCCCAGTAGACTCCGTCTCTCACCAGCTTGTCGCGAGTCACCCTCGGCTCGACCTCTTCGCACACATGTCGGTCCTGACCCTCGTCCCCTTCCACCTGCTACCATCGCGTTGCCTGTCGTCTCCGCGTCCTGATCCATTGATTCTCCTGGTCCGAAATGATGCCCTACCAGTGTGCCTGGCGCTCGATGTCCTGCTTCGCCCAGTCGCGGTTCGTGGACTCGATCTCTTTCTGCTGGCGACGCTGCCGCGTGTCCTCCCGATTGCGCTGCGCCCCCCTCGGGTTGAGCTGGGCCCGCTGCGGCCGCCACTTCGATCTCCGGCTCTGCCTCGCCGAAGATCTTCGCAAACCTTGCCCTGCACCAGGCGTTATGCACTGCTGAGTTCCACCCGCAAGCCGCGCGTCCATCTGTCGGCCCATGACATTCGATCAGAGCCTTCGCGATGCACCGCCTCCCTCGTGCAACTTCAGTCTGGCCCTTCACCTCCACGGCGCGCCAATGAAGGTGCCATGGGCCTCCTTGTTGAACTTGATCTCGGCACTCCTCAGCTTCATCGCCCTGGCGCGCTGGATCCCGCGCGCAGCCCCACCGGTAAATCTCGTCGCTGTCGCCCCGCCTGCCCGGGAAGATACCTTCGCTCCACCTCGGCCCCAGCTTGGAGTAATCCGTCGCCTGGAGGTTGTAGCCGATCGTTTCCCCGACCTCACCCCGCCATCCGTCTCGGTCTAAGACCCGGCGAGCAGAGACCCAGCGAGCCTGACCAACCACGGCATGATCAAGCTTTTGTGACCGATCTTCACCCTCAGGTTGAATTCCAGCTCGCTGTGCAACGTACGCAGTAGAGACCCACTCGCTCCACCGCGTTCTCGATCGCTCCGCTGCTCTGCTGAGATCCTCCAGGCGCCTTCTCAACCTGCGCGCTGCGACCCCCCTGCTCTGCGCCGCTGCGATGGCGCCCTGCAGCGACGGCCCCCCCTCACCGTTGCGGATCATGCCTGCGGCCCCGCATGCGTCACTGTAGAACCCCACCGCCGAATTCACGCACTCGCTGGGCACTTTGTGCATCGACATGATCGATGCCACGGCGTCCTTGGGCTGCTGAACCATTACCAAAAGACTGACCATCTCCGTCTCCAGCACGGCGTTCACGAGGCAGTAATCCACGCTGATGACTGGCATAGTCGGCGCGACGCCTCCTCAGGCTTAGTCTTCTTGCGGGCGCCCTCCTTTGCACGTCCCCACAGACGCCACTTGCACCAGTCTCTGAACGGCATGCGCGTCCTCTCCCGCGACGCAATCTCCCCCGCCGTCGGCCTATACCTCTCGTTCTTGATATTCGACAGCTGGGGCCCCCAACTCTCGACGACATGATCCGCGTCTCTCGGCTATCTTGAGCGGCATGTTCGCCGCGTTGCCGGTCGCCTCCGCCCCCATCGTCTTCTCGATAGTATGGCTAACTGACCGGCCGACCACTGCTCCACCGTACTCATCGAACCCGGTGTCTTGACATGCTTTCGTCAAATCGCTGACCGCAATGACAATATTGTGATAGCCGCGCACATCAAACTGTCCTCGCATCGATCGCCTGGCCCCGGCAACCTCCATGTGTACAGTATTGCATCCGTCCGCGTATATATTGGGGCCGTCTGCTTGCCGTAACGGCGGTGCATCGGCTCCTTCACGCGGTATTCGCGGTGCGAAACTTGGCGGGAAGACGCCCTGGCTGCGCGCGAATCGACCACGACCTCAGTCTCCCCTCGCCATTGCTCTCGAAGTCTCCAATCTGAATCAGGTAGCTTTCGTTATTCTCCATCTTAACGTCATTGGGCTCCTCATCCTCACAATCTGTCACGTGCTGATCTGTCAGCTTGTAATCCTCGCAATCAGCGAAATGTTTATCAGTCAGCTTGTCACCATCACAGACTGCAGCGTAGAATACGTAGCCCCCCCGTGCGTCGTAGTCGCACCCTGGGCACTGCGTGTCCTGACCCTTGGGATTGCCCGGGGCTGGCGGCGCCTTCGGTTTTTCATGATTGTCCTCTTTTCCGCCCTTGCCTGTGCCAGTTCTTATCTTGCGCAGCTCGTCCTTCGTAACTGCACCGCGCCCCATGTCCTGCGCGGCCCTCCTGTCAGGAAGTAACTACTGGGAGGTTTTCGCCGGAAAGATTATGGAGGATTCAGCCCCATTTAGGAGCTATTACGCCGGAGTGGGCCTCGAATTAAGCGGGATTAAGCCGGATTCGGCGGGATCAAGCAGGAGTAAGCCGGATAAGGCGGGATTGCGCCGGATTAAGACGAATTAAACCGGATTCAGGACCAGGGCGAAAACAAAATTTGACCTCCCAGGAGTTGCGTCCGAATTCCTGCACTCCATCAGCTCAAGCCCCTGCTTGCCGCAGTACTTACGCGGCTGGCTCGTATTCGTGTTGTCGCACCCCTTGCCTTCGATCTTGTCCTCGGCGCGTTTGCCATGGCCGCCCTTCCCATGTCAGCCAGACGCAAACGCATGCAAATCCATCGGTGCAAGGCCCGCGAGTGTCATCGCCGCCTGCTTTGAAGTCAAATAATAAAGGACCTGTGTCCTGACCACCGCCAACGTCGTGAACCTCGTCGCGTTCAGCAGCAGGTGCTCCCTGACCTTGTTGGGTACCAGCCCCCTGCTCCGAACGGACTTCTTGATTGACTCCATGACCTTCTCGCCCGTCTGCTCCTCGCGCCACTGCACTAGCGTCGCCCAGGACACGATGCCCTTCATCGGGTCGTTCTCCCGAGAATCGCGACGGCACCTTCGGCTCGGACTCCACGCAGAGTAGTCGCCATGCTCCCAGACCTTCTCCTGCAGGAACGCTCTTCACGATGCCCTGGCCTGGTCCTTGCATGTCGGCACCAGGATGTAATAGAGGGTGTTCACACGCTGGGCCTCTTCGTCAAGATCTTCGTGTGCGCAGGCCTCAGCGTTCACCTTAGCTGCGTCCCTTATCAGCTCTGCCCTATGCGGGTCCACCGCCATGCAGTAAGCCGCCAAACCACAACTCCAGTCCTCCCAGGTTATCCCATCATTGTACTTCGCGTTCTCGCCTGAGAACTTGTCAGGTTTCCCGAGCAGCTTCGTGTCGACCAAAGACTCAGGTCGATGGTACCTTGACCTCCAAGTGTCGCCGCTCCTGTCTCTGCGGCTGCTGGTCGGGCATTGGCCTCACGTACTTGCTGCTCGAATAGTGCAATCTGATTTCGAAACTCTATTGGGCTGTTTGGGGGGCCTCGTCGGGGCTCTTTTGGGCTTCTGGGTGCCTCTCAAGGGTCTGGGATGTGTTGGAGGCCTCTGGGGGGTCGTGGAGTCCTCTCGGAGGTCCCTGAAGGCCTCTTGCCCCCGCTCTTGGGCTCATATTGGGCCTGTTCTGGGGTGGTCTGGAGCTGTCCGGGGCGCCTCCTCGGCAGTCTTGGGGCCTTTTTGGCCTGTTTTGGCACCGTCTTGGGAGCCTCTTGGGCGATCTTGGGGCGATCTTGGGGGCCTCTTCGGCCGTTTGGAGCGTTGGAAGCATGAAACGGTGAGACGGCAAAAATAACCTTGGAAAAAAAAACATGGAAATAAACGATGTTAGGTTCTCCGGGCGCTCTCGGGAGGCCTCTCGGAGCTCTCTTGAAGTCTCTTGGAGGCCTCCTGGGAGCCTGGAGGGCCGCCCGAAAGCTTTGCTGGGTTGCTTGGGAGCGTCTTGGGCCGTTCTTTTACGTTCTGGGGGCTTCTTGGGGTCGTCTTGGGCTGTCCCTGTGCGTTGTGGGGGCTCCCCAGGAGGTCGGGAAGGGCGATACCGGGAGCGTTCCGCAAATGTTCCGGGAAGGTGTGGGACCCCCGGGAGGAGGGGGGGGCGTATTTGTTGAACTTGAAAAAAACAGAATATCTGGAATTCCCTTTTCTTTCAAGTTCCTCGGTCTTGGAACGTTGGAAGCGGGAAAATGTGAGAAGGCGAGCAAGCTCGACAATAACAATTGGAAATCAACGGTTTTACCCTCTTCGGGCTCTCTCGGGACGGCTCTCGAAGCTCTATTGGGCTGTTTGGGGGGCCTCGTCGGGGCTCTTTTGGGCTTTAGTGTGCCTCTCAAGGGTCCGGGATGTGTTGGAGGCCATCTCGGCTCGCATCTCGTGAAGCCCTTCACAAGTTCCTCGGTCTTTGAGCGTTGGAAGCGGGAAACCGTGAGAAGGCGAAAAAACTACACAAAAACCACTGGAAATCAATGATTTTACCCTCTTCGGGCTCTCTCGGGACGGCTCTCGATGCTCTCTTGGGCTGTTTGGGGGGGTCTCGTCGGGGCTCTTTTGGATGCCTCTCATGGGTCTGGGGTGTGTTGGAGGCCTCTGGGGGGTCCCGGAATCCTCTCGGAGGTCTCTGGAGGCCTCCTGCTCCTTGGGCTCATCTTGGGCCTGTTCTGCGGTAATCTGGAGCTGCCCTGGGCGCCTCTTCGGCATTCTTGGGGACGTCTTGGCCCGTTTTGGAGCCGTTTGGGCGGTCTTGGGGCGGTCTTGGGGGCCTCTTCGGCCGTTTGGAGTGTTGGAAGCATGAAACGGTGAGAAGGTCAAAAACCATGGAAAAACAATTCAAATTAACAATTTGTTAGGTTCTCCGGGCGTTCTCGGGAGGCCTCTCGGAGCTCTCTTGAAGTCTCTTGGAGGCCTCCTGGGAGCCTGGAGAGCCGCCCGAAAGCTTTGCTGGGTTGCTTGGGAGCGTCTTGGGCCGTTCTTTTACGTTCTGGGGGCTTCATGGGGTCGTCTTGGGCTGTCTCTGGGCGTTTGGGCGGCTCCCTGGGAGGCCAGGAAGCGCGGCACCGGGAGGATAATCCAAGCGTGATCGAGGCGGAGGACGCCCCGGGAGGGGGCCCGACCTATTGGTCTACATATATATATATATATATATGTATACATACATACATACATACATTCATACATACATACATACATATAGGTATATATCTGCGTATGTATATATGTATCTATATATATACACATACATACATACATACATACATACATACATACATACATACATACATACACACACATACATACATACATACATACATACATACATACATACATACATACATACATATATACATGCATGCATGCATGCAGCATGCATACATGCATGCATGCATGCATACATACATACATACATATATATAGATATATATATATATGTATATACATACATACATACATACATGCATACATACATACATACATGCATGCATGCATGCATGCATGCATGCATACATACATACATACATACCTATTTATATGTATATATCTGTGTATGCATACATACATACATACATGCATGCATGCATGCATACATACATACATGTATACATACATACAGACATACATACATACATACATACATACATACATATATACATACATACATACCTATACATATATATGGATATATCTGTGTATATACACATACATACATACATACATGCATGCATGCATGCATGCATGATTGCATGCATACATACATACATACATATTTACATGCATACATACATACATACATACATACACACACACACACATACATACATACATACATACATACATGCATACTTACATACATACATACATACATACATACATACATACACATATACATATACATACATACATATATATATATATATATGTGAAGCGAACAGGGGACAGGGTGGCCGCCGCGGCTACTAGCGCCGCGCTCGGCTCCGCTCTGTGGGTCGGGAGCAAAGCCCATGCACGACGAGAGCCCGAGGCCCGGCCCGGGCGGCCCGGCGTGCGAGCGAGGCCCAGGACGGATGACAAGAAACTAGCGTAAACTGAGCATCTAACCACAGGAAGCGAGAAACCAACACCATCTAGGACGCAGAAGGACGTACCAGTAGTCCTATGTGTTCTCCTCGGAGACGTGCGTCCGATACAATCATAGAACAACCATCTTGTGGTATCCCGCCAACCCTCTGGGCGGCAGGCGGTCTAACGAGACCTTTGTTCCTCTTCCAAAATAACCCCTCTTCCCCTTCGGGGAGGACTCCCCAGGGCCTGGACAGGGGGGGGGCCGCGAGCGGTCAGGGCGTCCAAGATGGCCCAAGACGGCTTCCAGAGGGCCTCAGAGAGCCCAAGATGGCCTCCAAGATAGCTCAATATAGCCCAACTTGGCTCTCAAGATAGCTAACCACATGCCTCCAAGAGGCCTGAAGAAGGCCACGAGAGGGATCCAAGTGCTTTGGGAGACCCCTCAGGACCTCCCCGAGAACCCAAAGTCCTTCAAAAACCCACGAAAACCAATGATGTTGGCCTTCTCGTCTTTTCGCTTCCGAAGTGCTTTTGAGGCCTCATGATGGCCCCAAGATGGCCCAAGCCCCAAGAAGGGCCCGAGGGGGCCCACAAGACGGCCCCCCGGAGGGCCCCAAGATCGCCCCAAGAGGCTATTTCGATGGCCCCGGAGGGGGGACCGTCGGAAAGAGCGTGTTCTACCGCTTCTGCAGGCGGAAACCCGGGGGGGGAGTCACTGGGGGTTCCCAACCCGCACCCCCCCCCTTCGAAAACCGGGGAGGGGGTCACTACTGGTTCGAACCTCCCCCTCCCGCCCCGTCCATCATGAAGGGGGGGGGTCACTACCGGATCGAACCCGCCCCCCCTCGCCGCTGGCAAACGATTCCCTCTCCTCCGGACAGTGGGACAGTGGTGGGGACACTGGGACAGCGGTGAGGACGGTGGTAATAGGGACAGGAGTGTGGGGATAGTGGGACAATGGTGGGGACAGTGGGACACTGGTGGGGACGGAGGTGGTGGGGACAGTGGTGAGGGGACAGCGGGACGGTGGTGGGACAGGGGGACTGTGGGACAGTGGTGGGGACGGTAATGGTGGGGACAGTGGTGAGGGCGGTGGTGAGGACGGTGGTGGGACAGTGGTACAGTGGGGGCAGTGGTGGGTACAGTAGGGACAGTGGTGGGGACTGTGGGGACAGTGGGACAGCACAGTGGGAGAGTGGTGGGAACAGTGGGTACAGTGGGACAGTGGTGGGAACAGTGGGACAGTTATGAGGACGGTGGTAGTGGGGACAGTGGTGCGGGGACAGTGGGACAGTGGTGGGGACAGTGGGACTGTGAGGGGGACGGTGATGGTGGGGACAGTGGTGAGGGGACAGCGGGACAGTGGTGGGGACAGGGGACAATGGGACAGTGGTGGGGACAGTAGTGGTGGGGACAGTGATGAGGGCGGTGGTTAGGGCGGTGGTGGGACAGTGGTACAGTGGGGAGAGTGGTGGGAACAGTGGGTACAGTGGGACAGTGGTGGGGACAACGGGGACAGTGGGACAGCACAGTGGGACAGCGGCACGGTGAGACACTGGTGGGAACAGTGGGGACAGTGGTGGGGTCAGTGGAGACAATGGGGAGAGTGGGACCGTGGTGGGATAATGGTGGGGACAGTGGGGACAGTGAGACACTGGTGGGGGCACTGGTGGGGACAGCGGGGACAATGGTGGAACAGTGGGAACACTGGGACAGTGGTGGGGACAATGGGACAGTGGTGGGGACCGTGGTGGTGGGGACAGTGGTGTGGGGACAGTAGGACAGTGGTGGGGACAGTGGGACAGTGGTGGGGACTGTGTTGGTGGGGACAGTGGTGAGGGCGGTGGACTGGTGGAGACAGCGGGGACAATGGTGGGAACAGTGGGGACTCTGGGACAGTGGTGGGGACAGTGGGACAGTGGTAGGGACGGTGGTGGTGGGGATAGTGGTGTGGGGACAGTGGGAAAGTGGTGAGGGCGGTGGTGAAGACGGTGGTGGGACAGTGGGACAGG